AACTTCTGAGCTCAAATGATCCTCCCGCCTCGGCCTCCCAGAGTGCTAGGATTACAGGCGTGAGCCACCATGCCCGGCCATAACCACAGTTGTTTTAAAGTCCCTCTACGACATCTACAATATCTGAGTCATTTATGAGTTTGTTTCTATTGTTTGTTTTTCTCTTGGTTTTAGGTCCTTTGGTCTTATGTTTTTAGGATGCTTTGTAATATTAAGTTAGATGCTAGACAGCATAGTTGAAAATATATAGATGCTTTAATGATGTTATTTATCTTTTATGAGAGGTAGTATTTCTTTTATCATGCAGATAGGGTAGAAATGGATTAATTTGAACCTGTTGAGGCTTTGTTTTAGACTTGATTGCGTTGGTCATTTCAGCTTTCTTTTCCCCTAGTCATAGCTTTAGTTCCTAGGGTATGTTTCTTATTACTAGGTTTTGACCCTTTCAGGGTCACAATAGAAGCCTGAGGTGTTTGATAAGTCCATCTACCTCAGTGGGGCTTGAAATTAATCTCTCCAGAATTGCACAGCCCCTGAAATCTCTGATTAGGTATTTAGTACTCTAGCTACTGTTACTAGGTTTATATTGTTTTGCTTTTGCTCAGTTTCTTGGTGTCTTGTCTTGAATACATACAACTTATGAGTTGGTTAATTGGAAATCTGGTTGCAGGTTTGTGGGCTCCTTCTTCATAGTTCTTTTCTTTTTATTATTTTCCCTTCAAATTGCAGCCATTTTGACTGCCCCAAACTCCACCTTCTGTCTCTTCAACCTCGTAAGACTATTGCAGTATTATTTCTCTGTATTCTATTTAAAAAATAAAATGCCCTTAAAACAAGAGCTGGGATGAGTGTGGAGCTCAACTCTTATGCTTCCATTCTCTCAAGCATCACAGACCCTCAAGTCCTGCCTCCATTGGTTCCTCTGCAATGTCTTCAAACTGCTGTTTTCTATATTTTGTTTAGCCTTTTTAGTTGTTTTCAGTAACAACTGAAAATAGCAGCTGCTCTGTTGAGACTAAAATTGGAAATACCGCCATTCTCTCCAGTTCTGCTGCTTCTACCAGTAATCAAAGGAGAGGTAAAAGTAGGAAAGATAAAATCATGTATTACGTATACTCTAGTTATTTCCCAGATGGGCTTTGCCAGGCTACCTAGTTTTCCAGGAGTAACCTCTAGGCTTTAGGATAGTCATAAGGCCCAGTTTCCATGGAAATGAGCAGAGCTAGCCTCTCACCCTGGCTCTGCCCTAACTAACTGTATGATTTTAGACAAATTGCTCATCTTCTTTGAGGACATTTTTCTTTTTACCTAAAATTGGATTAGTAGCTGACTTGCTTACTTTACAGGAATGTTGTGAGGATAGTGAAAGTATAGGGAAACCTTTTGAAAGACTATGAAATACTGAAGAAACAGAGGCATCTCTTTCTTACCTTTAACCTTACAGCCCAGAAATATCTTAGAACTAGCAGTGAAGGTCTCAGGGTATAGAATTGGCTGAGCCACTACCTAGCTGTTGACTCTGGATAAATCACTTCATTCTTCCTGCCTGTAACTTGAGAATGTTTATAAATCAAGCTATGATAAGTGATAAGGCAAAAACCAAACAGTGGAGCCCAAGGCAGTTAATTGAGGGGCGGTGCCCGCTAGGTTAATTCTCTTCCTCTTGGCAGTTTGGGTTATGTCAATATTTGTGTTGACAACAAATCTGGATCCCTTGGGAAAGTGAGATGAATACTGTGGTCTTCACTTAGAAGACAAAGACGTGGATTTTTACACCTTCTACAGGAAAAGAAAGAGAGAAGAGAGAAGGTGAGAGAAGAGAGAAATGTGATTGCTGCCATCATTTCACCTGAGCAGAACACCAGGATCTGTGTCTATCATCATGCCTGGACTTAGCCCCAGAGCTAGAAATTATTGAAGGTAAAAATGAAAAGAAAAAAAAAGATAAAGTGTGAGATACGATGAGCAAAAGACACTTCACAGTCATGCTGAGATGATACTAGGATATTAGCTTGAAAATATCTGTAAGCAGGTCTACTTTCAACACTGATGTCTTATTTTCCTGAATGACGATACAATCTGACAATAATACCCTATAATTGCAAGGTCATTTACTATTTTCCAAGTTCTTTCTTCTATATTAAGTTACTTAATTTTCATGATAATCTTATGAGATAGCATTAGGCAGTACAGGAAAGACAGAGGGGCCCAGAGAGGTGAAGCGAAATGCTCTAGTCCCACAATAGGACAGACATCGACTGTGTGAGGGATTTTGTGTGTGTGTGCGTGTGTGTGTATGTGTGTGTGTGCGTGCATACACACAGTGAGCAATGATGATGCCACTGCACTCTACCCTGGGTGACAGAGGGGAACAAAAGCAGACATTTGAGCCTGTGTCTCCACATTTATTTCTTGTAGACCACCCCCATCCACATTTCTCTTTACCATTACTTAACTAATTTCTTATTTATTTTGCCCTTCCTTAATTAATTTCTCAACAATTTTCCTCCATTCTTTCACTAATTTTTGCAGCCTCCTTTGCCTGTCAGGGAAGGTCACACCTCTGTGCCTTTGTTGGAGCTTCTCCCTCCACTGGAATATATATTTCCCCTTCTCCATTAGCGACCTCCCACTTACCTTTCAAACTCTGCACTAAGGCCAAGTGTTACCGGCTCTGTGAAGCCTTTCTTCACACGTCTCTCCTTCCTCGCTGATTTGTAGGTTCCTTGAATGCAGAGACATTGCCTCATTTATCTTTGTCCTCGGCACCCAAAACAGTGCCTGGATCATAGCATTTACTCAATAAATATTTGTTGAACGGATTAATAAAAGAATTCCTAATAGTCATTTGGCATTGAACCATGTACAGTCCTGTTTTCTATTGTTTTCCAGGAAATGTCTTTCCAGCACAAAATGATGGTAAGTTTTCTGAGTGCAGAGACTTTTCTCTCACTTTCTTCTGCACACTAGCCTGTGCCTAGTCCAGTGGTAGACAGTGCTGCCAGGGATGTGCCTGTTAGAAGTTCCTGCAGAATTCTCAGGCTTGCGAAATAGTCTTCAAAACACATAAATATTTAACCCGAGAGTTGCAGTCCTCCTCTACAGCGAGGGCTGGCACAGTGAAGGAGGGCCCAAGACATAAACCTAACCAATAACAGGGAGCCCCCATCCCCCGTTCCAGCCCTCCCTAGAAGCTGGATTTTCCTTTCAGCCCTTGGCAGAGGAGCCAGAAGGAATCCCACAAGCTGGGGTAAGCAAGGATGTTGGGGGAGGGCTCGTGTCTGATTTGCCAAATTTCTCAGCAGGCCATGTTTAAACTAAATCCACGTAGTTCTGTGTCTATACAGGAAGGCTCTGATTTACACAATAAAACTTGGCTATGTGTGTTTAATGGAAATTATATTTTAAATGCTTGAAGAGATCATTATTTTTAAAAGCAATTTCATGGGGAAGGAAATTTTCTGCAAAGTAAAGAAACATCTCAGAATGAGCCTGTATTATAAATGTGAATGTTCATGAATTAGGTTTGCTTATTCTGAGGATCAAATGTTTGCTTATTTTGCTTTAAAACTTTCCTTATTGGGGATCATTAATATTTATATTGATTATTCTAAATGTAGGTTTCCTTTATTTAACATATGAGGAGTTCTCTCTGATGCTCCAAAAAAACAATTGTTATGCTACATTAGAGTCAGGGACTTGAAGTCCCGTTAATCTTTGTTTTTTTTCCGCAGCATTTTAGGGTCTTGGGTATTTCCAGCTCTCCTCCTCCCTCTGTTTCCTTCTTCCTCAGTACAGCTCAGTGGGGCCTCCCCCAGGCCAAAAGAAGTAGTCACCATATGACTATCTTTAGAGGGAGTAAACAAGGTCCTTTTTTTTTTTTTTTTGTGACAGAATCTCTCTCTGTCACCTCAGGGTAGAGTGCAGTGGCATCATCATTGTAGCTCATTGCAACCTCAAACTCCTAGGTCCAAACGATAACAAGATCCTTTTAACCAAGGCCCTGGGTTAAAATTCATTTCAATTTCCTCCACCCGGCCGGGCGCGGTGGCTCATGCCT